ACCACGAAGCCCGGACCGCGAGGCCCGGCCCGTTAGGCCCACTAAGGCCCGGGCCCGTGACAAAATACAGCATTACTCTTACCCCATCTTCTCCTCCTCCTTTTTAGCAAAATTTGGCCATCATCTCTTGAAATCCAGAGCTTTTCACTCCATTTTGATACAAATCCCATCTCTCTCACATGTGGTCTCCTTTTTCGAGCAAGTAGGACATGCCAACAGAAAATAGTCAAGCCAAATCTTAACTCTTTTGTAAAATAGCAAGGACAAATCTCTGCCACTCTGAAGCAAGCAAAGGATTTGGTCAAATTTCTTCAAAAGAATCCAAAACTCTTCTCCCAACAATAGCGAGGTTGCACTCCATGGGTAGGATTTACCTCTGGCTATCTCGATTTCTTTGTACTTTGTTGCCATTTTCATACTTTGAATTCTCAAACGGACATATTCAGAAGCTTTACCCGTGACACCCCTTTGAATAATTTTGAATTTCAAACTTAATCTCTAACCCTAGACTTTTTCCCTATAAATGCTACTGTTTTCCACAAGTGAGAGGGGAACTTTTTTGGAGGGCGGCCACCATTTTTGAACTTCAAGATTCAGCCGCCTACATCTACACTAGACATAAGAATCAGCCGCCTCTTGAACACTACTTTATCACTCACATCTGATATAGTCTCAAATACTCAAGACTCTCTTACAAAACTTTCTTTTCTGTCTCGGTCAACTTTAGCTGTGACAGATATGTTGGAACTCATTCCGATCGAGGTTCGAATCTTTTGCACAACGAGAGAGTAGATTCGAGGCCAACATCGTCCTAGTTCACTGCCCCACAACAGGTAAAATCTGACTTTTTTTTTTATTCTGATCTTTCCCTCAAGGAAATTGTATTTGCTCTTAAAAAAAAACATATCTTAGGTTTACGTTTGTTTGTTGTAGTGTAATGTACAGATGACATTTTTTTTAATAGTAAAGTTATGTGAAGAATCCATGTTTTAAGTCTAGTTGTATTCAAATTGGCTGTGTTAAACTTTATTGACCAAACCATGCTATTTGCTATTGTTTTCTTGGCTATTCGAAGAAGTGATGTTGTTCAAATGTATTATAAACCATGTTCTTTAGGATTTCATGTCTTAACAACCATCTGTTCTAAAATACTTTTAAAACTATATTCTTGAAGTGTAAAATAATGGTAGAAAGCATAGCCTGTGGGTTATTTTGGTAATTATAGAGATGACGACAGTGGGTGATAATAATATTCATGCTTAGTTTAAGTACTTCTCTAGGATGTTAACTGACCATGTTCCAAGTTTGTTTAGAAGCACATGATTTTGGTTTCTGCTGTCAGTAGTACTAATAGGAGCTGACCACTGTTTCACTTGCTTAGATAATGGATATAAAAAGGGTATAATCTGTTAAGACATTTAAGCTGATCTATTGTATCTCTAAATAACAAAATACACGACTCTACATTTTCTTGGTTTTGATAACTCAAAATAGCATGCCATTAACTTCCTTTTACAAACTTTGTTCAAAGTAGGCGTTGGCTAGTTATGGGTATGTGTTAGCTCTCTGTTTCTTTTTCTATGTAGATGTGGTAACAAGTTTTCTGCGACCCTCTTTTAACACTTAGAAACCAAAACAAATGAATTTAATATCTCATTTTAAATAGACTCTTGCTAACGAAGTGAATGCTACTGATGAGAACTTGCAAGTCTTTTTTGTTGTTGACATCCTTCGGTTAATAATTTAAAAGTGGCCTTAGAAACTGTAGAATATATCCTTGTCCGCCCATTTAATTTAGACATTTTAGGATAATACTCAATAGAAGATAAATTTACATCTTAACTTTAAATATTACTTAAGAAGCTATTTCCTGTTAGTAGGAGGTGATTCTTTATATTTTGGTCACCATGGCATGTGAGCATATTTGTTTTAATACAAGTTGGAAAGATCTATATTTCCTCTCTGACTTTCATGTCTGTTAAGAAGCATATGTTCTTCTCTAACTGTTTTATTCTTTCTTTGTTTTTCGCATGAACACCGGAGCCCGAAGAGTTTCACTTTGAGACTCTACGATGCCGTAGCACCTCATGGAATCAACACTACATATTCTAACCTCAAATTCTCTAGGAGAAACTATAAAGAACCATCATTTTCGGAGTTCCTGAAGGAGCTGCCCGCTATTCCATCTTAATCTTTACTTTGCCAATTCCTAACTTTTATTAACAATCTGCTTTTCTTTTGTATGAATGTAGCTTGTCTTTGCTTGTTATGTTAAGATTAGTATGACCAAGTTTTCATTTAGAATTTTTGTTAGTAACGGACTACTACTTTTTCACACATGATAAGATATCTAGATATAAAGAATTTGAAATCGACAATTAGCCACATTTTACTCGTCAATAGTTTGGGATAATGAACCTTACTTAGGATACCTCACTTAGCTAAACAATCAGTTTGTTTGAACACATAAATATTCGCCTGTGTAAGGTTTAAGATTTTTAACTGAATTTGCTTTCTAAGCTAACGTACAAGTTAATACTTATTCACATGCTAATGCGTACCCATATATATATATATATATATATATATATATATACTCTGATCTTTCCTAGCTTTCAGATCACATTGGTAAAGCATTTGGTATATCGACCTTTTATAAAGTAATATGGCCTTAATTAACTTTAGTCTGATCGCTTAACCATTTAAAATGGATCTTAAAGGGTGCCTTAAAAATCTTCCCTTTAGATTAGTTGAACCCTTACCTAGAATCTTTAGGTTAAGTAGACCATTAACAGAGTTGTACTTTAATTAATTTAGGTGTCCTAATTCACTTTAGAAATAATTAGGTGGCGACTCTTTAACTTTTAATCATACTCGGAATCGCCTATATGTTATACTTTAATTTGACCCAGTTAAAAATGGGGCATAACACAGCTGTTATGAGGTTCTTAGGAACATGGGGATTGTTGAGACCAATGGGGTCGATTTTGTTGCATTTCGCTTGTCTGGATCCGCCAAGACTTGGTGGAGAGATTATTGCTTGGCTAGACCAGCTGGATCGCCAGCCTTGACTTGGGAGCAGTTTGCACAACTATTTTTGGAGAAGTTTCTCCCCATTACTCAGAGAGAGGCCTATCGGAAGCAGTTTGAGCGTTTCCAGCAGGTTTCCATGGCTGTTACCTAGTATGAGACCAGATTCATCGACTTGGCTCGCCATGCTCTTGTCATACTTCCTACCGAGAGAGAGGGGAGGAGGTTTATTGACAGTCTTATTCAGTCGATTCGTCTTCAGATGGCTTGGGAGGCGGCCAATGTGGCCCGTAGAGTTGAGATGGTCCTGTCACAGGGAGGTAGTCATAGGTCGGACAAGAGGCCCCGTCATTTAGGTAGATTCATTGGTGTCTCGTCTGGAGGCAGAGATTCGTATGGTAGAGGCCATCCTCCTAGGCCCTTTCAGTCAGCCCTTCAGGTTTCTCACGGTGCTTCAGGTAGCCGTGGTCCGCAGATGCAGTATTCTGATCAGCAGTCCTACAGTGCACCACCAACTCCTATTAGTGCACCGCCGCTTCAGAGTTTTCGGGGTGGTCCTTCAGGTCGCCAGGGTCAGTCTTAGTTTCCTCAGCCGCAACACTCAGGTGGATGCTATGAGTGTGGTGAGTATGGTCATATCAGGAGGGCTTGTCCGAGATTGGTGGGTACTCAGTCGCAGCAGCAGGGTCCCCGTACTATGGTTCAGGCACCAGGTGTTCTACAGCCCGCCCAGCCAGCTAGAGGTGGGGGTAGAGGTGCTAGAGGTAGAGGTCGAGGATTTATAGGTGGAGCTCAGACCACTAGAGGTGGAGGCCAGCCAACTGCAGGTCGTCCTAGAGATATAGTCCAGGGTGGTGGGGCCCAACCTCGATGTTATGCTCTTCCATTTAGGCCCGAGGCTGAGGCTTTAGATGCGGTTATCACAGGTACTGTTCTGGTTTGTGATAGAGATGCTTCAGTGTTATTTGATCCAGGGTCTACATACTCGTATGTGTCATCTTACTTTGCACCATATCTGGTCATGCCTAGTGATTCATTGAGTGTTCCTGTTTATGTGTCTACACCAGTAGGTGATTCGATTATGGTAGATCGAGTCCATCGCTCTTGTGTAGTTGAGATTGGGGGTCTTGAGACTTGAGTAGATTTGTTGCTTCTAGACATTGTCGATTTCGATGTTATATTGGGGATGGACTGGTTATCACCTTACCACGCTGTCTTAGACTATCATGCCAAGACTGTGACCTTAGCTTTACCTTGTTTGCCTCATTTAGAGTGGAGAGGGACTCCTGGTCATTCTACCCGAAGTGTTATCTCTTATGTGAAGGCTTGACGCATGGTCAAGAAGGGGTGTTTGGCCTATTTGGCATATGTACGTGATTCTAGTGCTGAGGTTCCTTCTATTGATTCTGTGCCCGTTATTCGTGAGTTTCCTGATGTATTCCCTTCAGACCTGCCGGGTATGCCACCCGACAGGGATGTTGACTTTTGCATTGATTTGGCTCCGGGCACTCAGCCCATTTCTATCCCGCCGTATCGTATGGCCCCGCCTGAGTTGAAAGAGTTAAAGGAGCAGCTGCAAGACTTGCTTGAGAAGGGTTTCATTAGACCTAGTGTTTCGCCTTGGGGTACGCCGGTGTTGTTCGTTAAGAAGAAGGATGGGTCGATGAGAATATTGATTACCGGCAATTGAATAAGGTTACGATCAAGAATAAGTTTCCATTGTGGAGGACTGATGATTTGTTTGATCAGCTTCAGGGTGCCAAAGTATTTTCAAAGATTGACTTGAGATCTGGCTACCATTAGTTGAGGATTAGGGCATCCGATGTCCCTAAGACAGCTTTTCGCAGTCGGTACGAGCATTATGAGTTTTTGGTGATGTCATTCGGGTTGACAAATGCCCCAACAACTTTTATGGAATTGATGAAACGAGTGTTCATGCCTTATTTGGATTCGTTCGTGATAGTCTTCATTGATGATATTTTGATATATTCCCGCAACCGGGAGGAGCACGAGTAGCATCTCAGAGTGGTTCTTCAGACTTTGAGGGATATTCAGTTATATGCTAAGTTCTCGAAGTGTGAGTTCTGGTTGAGTTCAGTTGCATTCCTGGGTCATGTTGTATCAATAGAGGGTATTCAGGTTGATCAGAAGAAGATTGAGTCAGTCAAAAACTGGCCTAGACCAGCATCCAGAGATTCGTAGTTTCTTGGGATTGGCAGGCTACTATCGTCGGTTCGTGGATGGGTTCTCATCTATCGTAGGCCCGATGACTAGGTTGACCTAGAAGGGTGCCCAGTTTAGATGGTCGAATGAGTATGAGGCGAGCTTTCAGAAGCTCAAGACAGCTCTGACTACGACTTCGATGTTGGGTTTGCCCACAGGTTCAGGGCCTTATACAATTTATTGTGATGCATCTCGTATTGGGCTTGGTGCGGTGTTGATGCAGGATGACAAGGTCATTGCCTATGCTTCGTGGTAGTTGAAGATTCATGAGAAGAACTACCCTGTTCATGATTTAGAGTTGGCAGTCATTGTTCACGCATTGAAGATTTGGAGGCATTATCTGTATGGCATGGCATATGACGTGTTCACGGATCACAAGAGCCTTTAGTATTTGTTCAAGCAAAAGGAGTTGAATTTGAGGAAAAGCAGGTGGTTGGAGTTGCTGAAAGATTATGATATCACTATCTTATATCATCCGTGAAAGGCCAATGTGGTGGCCGATGCTTTGAGTAGGAAGTCAGCCAATATGGGCAGTCTAGCTTATATTCCGGTCGGTGAGAGACCGCTTGCTTTGGATGTTCAGGCCTTGGCCAATCAGTTCGTGAGGATGGATGTTTCTGAACCTAGTCGAGTGTTAGCTTGCACGGTCGCTCGTTCTTCATTATCTGAGCGTATCTGAGATCGGCAGTATGATGATCCCCATTCGTGTGTCCTTAGAGACACGGTGCAGCACAGAGGTGCCAAGCAGGTTACCTTAGATGATGATGGAGTTTTGAGATTGCAGGGTCAAGTTTGTGTGCCCAATGTGGATGGGCTTCGGGAGTTGATTTTAGAGGAGGCCCATAGCTCCCAGTACTCTATTCATCCAGGCGCCGCGAAGATGTATCAGGATTTGCGGCAACATTATTGGTGGCAGAAAATGAAGAAGGATATTGTTGCATATGTGACTCGGCGTTTGAATTGTCAACAGGTTAAGTAGGAGCATTAGAGGCCTGATGGTTTATTTTAGAGGATTGAGCTTCCCGAGTGGAAATGGGAGCGGATCACTGTGGATTTCGTTGTTGGACTCCCACAAACTCGAAGGAAGTTCGACGTGGTATGGGTCATTGTTGATAGACTGACCAAGTCAGCGCATTTCATTCCTGTGGTAGTCTCCTATTCATCCGAGAGGTTAGGTGAGATCTACATCCGGGAGATTGTTCGTCTTCATGGTTTGCCCGTGTCTATCATTTCGGACCGAGGTACGCAGTTTACCTCCCGTTTCTGGAGAGCAGTTCAGCGAGAGTTGGGCACACAAGTTGAGTTGAGCACAGTATTTCATCCTTAGACGGATGGGCAGTCCAAGCAGACTATTTAGATTTTGGAGGATATGCTCCGAGCTTGTGTCATTGACTTTGGAGGCTCGTGGGATCAATTTTTGCCTTTAGAAGAGTTTGCCTATAACAATAGCTACCAGTCGAGTATCCAGATGGCTCCTTATGAGGCTTTATATGGTAGACGATGTCGGTCTCCGGTTGGATGGTTTGAGCCAGGAGAGGCTCGGTTGTTGGGTACGGATCTGGTTCACGAGGCCTTGGACATGGTCAGGATTATTCAGGATAGGCTTCGTACCGCTCAGTCCAGGCAAAAGAGTTATGCCGACCGCAAGGTCCAAGATGTAGTTTTCATGGTCGGTGAGTGGGTATTGCTTCGAGTGTAGCCTATGAAGGGCGTGATGAGATTCGGGAAGAAGGGCAAGCTTAGCCCTAGGTTCATTCGTCCGTTTGAGATTCTTGATCGAGTGGGAGAGATGGCTTATAGACTTGCATTGCCGCCGAGCTTATCAGCTGTGCATCCAGTATTTCATGTGTCCATGCTCCGAAAATATCACGGCGATCCATCCCACGTGTTAGATTTCAGTATTGTCCAGTTGGACAAGGACTTGTCTTATGAGGAGGAGCCGGTAGCTATTCTAGACCGACAGGTTCATCAGTTGAGAACGAAGAGTTTTCCTTCTGTTCGTGTTCAGTGGAGAGGTCAGCCTCCTGAGGCATCGACCTGGGAGTCCG